ACTGTGCCCAGGCGGGGCTGCAGGAGGAAGGGCGGGGGTGAGAGAGCTTCTGAGTGTCAGCTCCAGCCGCCAGTGGGTGTCCCAGTGAGGCTGCTGGCAGAGACGGCCTTCGGTGCCTACAAATAAAGCCTTTAACTTGAAAATTGATGATTTAGCAGTGAAGTTTAATTTAAAATCTACCCGTATGTCTTCTGTTCCAAGGTAGCTTATTAGAAATTTCGTTATCTCCTGCTCCTCGTTTATATTTCACTTAGGGCTATTTCTGCAGCTGTCTTTCTTGATGATTACAATAATACACTTAGAAGTATTTTATTGAAGAGTTTACTTTTCCCTATTTTAACCACGCTTTAATTTCTGGGTACTTTCTCCACCCTCAGTGGGGATGATTAAAATGTGGTGGCTTGCCATGGAGAATTACAAAGTAGAAAATAAGACCATAGCATCACAGTAAAAGAGTCAACTCCGTGAAAGTTTCATTCCCCATGCTTATCAAAAGTTGTTGAAACATCGCTTGCCTTTTTTGATTTTAAAATGTAGGCAGATATATACCAGTATATCAAAAAAAAATGACACTTTGTCAAAGGGGACTTTCATGGGAGAATGTTCTGAATAAAATTTTTCTTTTAGAAGAACTCAAGCCATTTGACATCCCAAAGCAAATGCAAAAGAACACAAATGCCTGGACTCACTCTGGTCACAACAGTTGCATTTACTTTTTACTACATTTTTATATGCCAAAAATTGTCCCCCCCAAAAAAAGTTATCACTTTTATTCCATGATAATGCTTGTTTGAAATAAAAGCACTTCTGACTCCTGAAAACTGAGTCTCTTTAGACTTAGCAGCCTTTCTACAAGTGTGACGACGATACGGTTAGCTATGACTAGGGTTAGACCCGGTGTAATTATATCCCCTTATCTGTTAGAAACGCTGGCTGTGACTAGCTGCATTTCACTTTCTGACAGATGAAATACAGAGTTAAAATCTCAAACTAGTTCCTCAAGAAGCACCTCCACACCATCGCTTTCAGATCTTTTAACCTGTGGCAAAATGGTAGCCAGAAAAAAGTGAGAACACAGGTGGTATTAAAGCCTAAGCAAGACTAACAAATCAGATGTACGTGTACACCCACCTCTTTTTGTCCCTCTCTGTGGGGGTGCTTTGAAATGGTTCCAGTTCTGTAGACCTTCTGAGAATGTCAGGGCTAAGGTAACGGATGATGGTTGAATTGTCAATTCAAAAATCAGTAGACAGTTGGCTTTCATCACAATATTGTCTTTTCTGGAATGGAAGGATGTTGGTATTTACTATCCACAAACTTTGCAGAGAATGAATCTAGTTTTAGCTCTTTGATATTACTGCATTTTCATTAGTATGTATTTGTAATACATAATGATTCTGCTTTTTATTTACATTTTGGATTTCTCATATAAGAGAAAGCTTGCAAGTTCTTGGGTAAAAATTGAGAAAATGACTGAAAAAAACAGAAACAGATGGAAATAGAGGTAACTGAGATGCAATATAGTTTAAAGTTACCTGGCATGCAGGTAACAGTGAGGGTGTAAAGGGGAGAAATACTGTGTACCACTTTACTTGACTTATAAGCTAACTCTCATCTTGTATCTTGCTCTCATTCTAAATACCTAAAGTTTTAAATATCTGCTCAAAAGTGCTACACAAAAGTTTGAGCTGCTGTCAGAGAATGGGGGACAGATTTTCCCATTGGAGAATAGAAATCACCTAGGCTTTAATAAAATATTAGCAATTCTGTCCCCACTGCTATAAGAGGACTCTCAGAATCCAGCAACAGATTTTAGTCACTAGTGATCGAACCAAATATGTTAGCTTTCCCTCTTCAGTTAACTGAACTGCATTTCGTGTTGATGTGCTGGTGGTTGTGGTACAGGAGGAGCCGACAGTGGTTGTAAAGCATCTCCAACTGAGAATTTCTTTCTTGTCCCCGTGAGATGAGGCTGAGTACAGTGCAGGTTAGAGCTGTGGACAAAGGCTTTGACTCCTACCTCCGTCACTTCTGATTCTGTGAGCTTAGGTAAATGCTTAGCTTCTGTGATCCTCACTTCTTTCATTTGTAATATGGGTCTCCTACCACCTCTTTAGACAGTGAGTTCAAAGCTTCATAAACATCCAGTACTTAATAAATGGAACCAATCATCATGAATAAACAGATGTGCATAGTTCCGGAGTTTAGGACTCTCTCAGGGAAGCAGGAAATCCCCTCCAGATGATTCTGCTACAGTCTCATCCTTTTTTATTTTTTTATTTTGAGGCAGGGTCTCACTGTGTTGCCAGGCAGGACTTGAAGTCTCAGGCATTCCAGTCTATCTCCCAAGTACGGAGACCATAGGTGTGCATAGGGAGACCACGCACCCCTGGCTGTATCCTCAGAGTTTACCAACCAGGAAAAGTTGCTCTGTCTTGGTATGCACTCTTTGTTCCCATGTCTGCAGGCCATGCTGTTTATTCAAACACAAGTTAAAATCAAATATTGTCCTTGTTACATTTATTAGTGTGACTCAGAAGAAGTTGTATTACACTGATTGTCACACTTAGGAATCCTTTGCTAAAACCAGCAGCATCTCCTAAATATAATAAGGCCAAAATTAATTTCTAAAACTCAGATCCCTTTAAAATTTAAACAGTCACATCCCTAGTTATAGACTATTATTGCCTGTAGGGTTGAAGCATAAATGCAGAAGAAGAGTCAAGGACAGGTCAATATTTGATTCTCTAATACATCAACCGTGCATGAGACCGTGAGGCCATAACTATCGTAAACAGCTCACTCTGAGTCCACAAGTGAAGCCAACAGAAGATGCAGATTGAACTTTAGTGGTTCTAATATTAAAATTTTACCGCACATTTTGAACTATTTCATAAATTGGTTTGAAAATGAATGAAGCAGTAACATGGAACTTCAGCTATGTTCTAAATTAAATATAAGCATTTAAAATAACCATTATAATTAAGTACGAGGCTCAGGCAACTAATCATTAAAAGTGGAATTGGTAACTTAAGATTTATCATTCTGAAAGGACTTCTACCACATCTCTAATGAGTTCTTCCCTCTATTTAAATGAAAGGCTAGCTGTTTTTTCTCTGGGTGGTAACTGGGAGGAGACAACCATTTCTCGTGTCGTGGTTGTCAATTTCATATTGAATCAAAAATGTTGGTTTCACCCCAGTCTTTTTAGTTCCAACTCAATACCACGTTTGCTTATCCACATCCACCTTAGCATGTTTTAGTTATCAAAACAAATACTAAAAACCTCAGTAAGTAAAATACCATTTGTATCGTAATGGGTATGTTTTGTAAAAGAGCTATATATTTTAACTGTAACTATTCTGTAGCATGAAGCCTGACAGTGTGTTCCTGTGAGGGTGAGTACACGCACTGAATTTACAATTTTGTAAAATCTGTTTTAAAGAGTTTTTTATTAAACTATTTGAATTACAGTTCACCTTCTACTCTCCAGTGCTTCTTAGGACAGCTGATAGGGCAAAACTGCATTTTTCTACCCAGGGCTTTGAGGCACCGGGTGTTGGTTCTCTGGTCTTTCCTGTGTTGTGGAGTTAGTAACGCTGCTAAGAATCTGAAAGAGGTGATACCTCTGCATGGGAAGGAGGCTGCAGGTGCAGGGCGGGTTAGCGGGTTTTGTTACTTGGACTGAATACCTGCAATTGCTGGTTGTCACCGTTTTCTTCTGTTGTAAAAACAGAACTAATTGGAGGCATCACCCTTCAGGGCAAGCGCTGCTGGTTAATGAACGTTGAGTGCCCTCTTGAGTTCAGCATTTTAATTATTCATAATTATAATGATTTCTGTGTATTCGGGGGTCTTTGGGAACAATTCTAATTTGTCAAACAAATTAAGAGGCAGAGTAGCTGGGGCTTTGTTTTGTTTTGTATTAAGGTCATGGGCCTGTGACTCCGCCAAGTTCTCATAAGAAGCTAGTTTTTTAGCTAATATGTGGGCACAGTCCCCACATATGTATCTGAAGTAACCAGATACATTTTTTTCTCAGCCATGTTTCTAGAATCCTAGCAATATTATGGCTGTGGGGCAAAGAAATGGCAAGGACTCAAATGGAAGGATTATAAATAATTAATGAAAATACGTTAAGTAGAGAGTAGATTATTAGATTCTACCAGACAAGCATACAACTCTTGAGATCTTTCCCTTTCTTGAAGGAATTTGTATGTAGAAGAGTTCCTGTGTGTGTCTGCTTTGCACTCCAAATATAGATACATCCAATGGACTCCAGTAAAAGATGGATTCTAGGCCATTTGTGTTGGTTTTTACTGAACATCTACTAGTGAGAATGATGTGTTGAGTCTCCACAATCTATTTAGATGTCATATATACTCAATAATAATCTGAAATCGTAATGCAATCGTGTTTTTTAAAAAAGAGTTTAAGATTGTGATTTTCTTTCATTTTTCCCATAGCTTCTTTGTCTTCTATCTTTTATAATACAGCAGTTGAGTTTTGGATTCAAGTGTGCAGCCTTCAGCTAGAGAGTTAATCAGACTTCCTGGTAGTGTGTAATCAATTTAGGAAGAAGCAACAAGTGCTTAGTATAGCAAGTGGTAGCCAAGATAACAATGATTGATATTGGTATTCATGCATGTCTGTGGAAAGATCTGGAGACATACAACAGGTACTTTTAGGAAAGTGTGTTCAACCACGCCCACCTGAAAACCTCAACAGCTAGAGAAGAAACAGGTTTCTGCCGTGAAATCATTATGAAAGTACTTGTGTCGACTCCCAGCTTCCAAGCCCAGCCCTGACATATCATAAGGTTACAATCCAATGTGATTTCCAGGCTTTCAGTAAAAGAGTTCATGAAAGGCCCATATGGACCATGAACGTGTATCCACGACGTCCTTCTTTCCGCATTAGGTGTTTAACTGCAGCTGCTGTGCACAAGGAAAATGAAAAGACTAATTGGAAAATCGCTTTGCTTCCCTGTCCACCCTCAGGAGCTCCCCAGCAAGGAAGAAGCCAAAAGCACAGCCCAGAGGAGAGGAGAGGCCATGGACTGTCCACCAACAGATACTCATCCCCGGGATAACTGAGAAGTGTCTGAATGTAGGTATGTGTGTCAAGAGCATTGGTCTGCCCGTGCCGTTTGCTGTCTATTGCTTCTTGCTTCCGTCTCTGACACTCCTGCATCTGTCACATCAGCCTGTGGAGAGCGCAGGTTGGCTAGACACACGTGTACACTCCTACACCAACGCCCAGAGGAGCCTCTTGCAGGTGGTGTCTCCTCCACTCCACTCTTAAATCATTCTGTAAACAGCTGTAAACCTCCCACTCCCTTGTCTCAGCATGCCCATTCATAAACCTTCTTCCTCATCAAAGGAAGATCCTTATTTCCTGAACATAGAAAATCTTTGTCTTTTTGGTTCCCATTCTGAGAAATAACTTTCTGAGCTGCTCCGTGACCATTCTCCCTGGTGCATCAGCATCCTTGGATCCAGCAGCACTGAGCAGATTAAGCAAAGCAAGTTCCTGGGTGTGGCTGGGTGGGCCATGGGGACGTGGCCTTGGGTCCCATCTGTGGCCCTTCGCCTCCTCCCTGGCACTGTTACCTTGCTCTGCTTCTCAGCTGCCAAAAACTGAATAGTTTTGCCCCTCCACATCCTTTCCTCTCATTTTTCTGTCTTGGAGCTGGGCAATCACAGGCTACAAATGTGAGCCAACTAATCCTTTTCTCTCTGTGTACACTGTCCTCATCAAGTATTATGTCTAGCAAAGGAAAAAACTGGCTTGCTCTTTGCAAGTCTTTTAGTTCTGTTCACCCTCCAAGGCCAAAATCAAATTGTCAAGATTCTGTCCACCTACTCAGACAGAATCTTGCCAACTTCCCTTTTTTCCAAACTTCTCTAGAACATGTAGTTATTCCTTTTGTCTGGCATTTGCCAAGGTCTGGTGCTTTTTATCTGTATATGCATGCATACTGTGTTCTCAGCATAGCAACTATATACTTCTAGAAAATAGAGAGTCTAGTGTATATCATCATTTGTACAGCAGAGCTGTGTGTTTGTCACAGTCCGGGGAAGGAGATGGTCCTATAACAAGCAGCCAGGATCATCTGAGGCACCACAGATGAGAAGTGAAGAATATACACTATGGGGCCACACCGTTCAAGTCTGAATTCTTGCTCAGTTCTTAGCTGGGCACCTTGTCAAGGGCTCTTGTTAAAACTTTATGTGCCTTCACTCCTCTTCTCCAAAAGGAGGATATGTAATACTCCATTTCAGTGGGTTGTTGCAGAGGCTAAGTAAGTTAATAGATTTAAAAGAGCTTAGAGTCCAGTACATATTAGACACTCCAAATCATTATAGGAATACTCCATCTCAGCTCTGTTAATCGATCCTAGAAAATAAATGGCATGATCTTCATTCTCCAGACAGAATACGGTGTCCCTAAGGGGTCAGATCAGTGCCTGAAAACATGAAAGGAGGCAGAATCAGGACCAAAATATCTGACCAGAAGCCTGGGTTATATCCGTCTGAACACTGGCTCAAACACAGATGCCATGGGATGAGTTCTCTCTAAGAATGATGACTTGTTTTCGCTTCTGCTCAGATAGTTTCAATTAACTCATGCTGAGACTTCACTAGGTTTCACCTTGCAAAAATATTTTAAATGTAGAGCCATTTAAGTGGATTTAAATACCCGTTTTGTTGTTTAATTCAAATGAGATGGAGTCATAACATTTATTTATTTATTTATTCATTTATTTGGACTCAGGGTTCAGAATTCTATCTCACTGAAGGAGAAGAAGGTGGGTGGGGTGAGGGCTGTCAGTGGCTTCTCTACCCTGGAACATTTTACAACCTAAGAGGCTGCATAATGGACACATGGCAGGAGCTCCAAACCATGTCCACTGGGAGAGGACCCTTCCTGCTCTGTCTTTCCTTCCATGCTACAGTGCAGGGCTGTATCATTGTCTACAAAGCCAGCTCTTTAGGATTTGGTGAATTATAGTAAGTTATAAAAGTTTAATAGTAAGTTATAAAACTGATATGGAGTTGTTTTCTAATTGTCATATCCCATTGGAAGTTATTTTGGAGAATTTGCAGAGAATTCTGTGAAGTGTGCACCCTTATTGGCTAGGACGTCAGCAGCAAGTTGTATTCTTGTCACTGGCGACCTCCTTCATCTGCACATCTGCAACAGGTAGTGCTGTTGTGGATGTGGCGGAAGTAGCTAAGGAAATTAAATTTTGCAGCTCTTCTGATATATTGAAGCGCCCTCGCTGCATTAAGAGGGATTTCCCAGACCCTCTGCAGACCTCATGGAAGCATCTCCAAGGGAGGGAATGAGGTTTTGTTCTAGGTTTTAACATATTATACCATTTAATCATTGATACAAGCCTATAAAGTAGGCATTGTGACTCCTATTTACCAGTAATGAAGCTAAAATTCAGACAAAGCAAATCATGCAATAGTCCTGGGCTGCAGTGAGCCCTGGATTCAGAGTCCTGAGGCTGCTTCATGTTTCAGCTTCCTCACCTTAAATAGCATTCTGAAGACCAGCATAGTTTATGGGTAAAATCCCTTTGAAATGATCAAAGGTACCGTGAACATAAAAGTCATAGCTATGAGTCTGCAACTATAAACCCTGAAACAGTTCTCAAATGCTTTGAAACCTCAGACCAGCAAGAGGAGAAGATGGAAGTAATAAAAGGAAACAAAGACTGAAAATGTAGACCCACAATGCCTATGCAGAGCCTCGGGGAGCCTGTCTAGGAGAGCTTACCCCAGGGGTCTCATCCCAGTGCTGATCCAGTGTTGTTCAGTTATCAGTCACCCAGTGCAAGATCCCTTAAATATAATATTTCATGTTTTAAAATAAAGCTGTAATGGTCATCAGACCAGATATATAACATCACATTGGAAATTGAGATGGTCATGTGTGGAGCCATATGTGTTGTGTGAACTGGTTGTATGGCAAGCGTGGGGCACCGGAAGCTAGGGCTCCCCTAAATAAAGCCATGGTTTTAGAATGCATGTGTCCCCCATCCCGCCCTGAGTCCCTGCCACACCCTGTGAGCCTCAGTGGGGTCCAGCCAGCTTCTTCTTGGCCCTGCCTTTCAAGAGCAGTAATGGCACTTCAAGTTGTAGCTGATGTCTGGTTTTGACCTTGCAGATATTGAAGAGAAATAAATGTATTCAATGAGTGATTAAACACATGCTTCAGTTATGATGATAGTATAAAAACAGCTCAATCTTATAAAACTATGAGGTGCTTTCTGATTCTTAGCTCTTAATTGCATTCCTACTGAGTCTAGGTAATATCCCCTTAATCTCAGCATAGGGCGTAGTGCTTTTATGTAGATTTAAGAAACTTATCCCTGTTTGCTGCAACTCTTTTGTTTGATATGATAAGTTTCAGGTAACCACCCACTAGATGCTTTTTTAAACTACATTTTAGATTAAACAAAAGCAGGTTGCTTAGTTGATATTTTAAACAGTATTCTAAAACTCAAAGAAACTAACAAACCATTTTTATGTGTTCGCTGTCAAAGGCTACAGGAGGGCAGCCTCTGCCTCCAAGGTCTCCTGCTGAGATGGAGAATCTATGTACCATTGTTTAATTTCATCTGGCCAATTTCAACTGTCAATATAAATATAAGCCTATGACAACAACTTATTTGTAGTTGTTGAAATAACCTCCTTAGCATTTGCAGTTTATCATTATTCTTAATTAAGTATTTTGAAGGTAGAATGGAATACAAAGATAATGATTTAAGGGTAACTGCACTTAAGGGAAATAGGGTGTGTATATTCCTCAGGAACAGTTTATTTTCCGAGCTATGAGTCACTATGGAAATAGTATCTACAGAAATGTTTGAATCTTCAAACTAATGAAACATAATAGTGAAACACTTTCTTGTCACTTTTATTTAAAAATTTTCACGACAGTATATTCTTCCTCATGCACAGGATGTCTATACTCAGTGACTATAATAATATTAGCCATTCTTGAATTACTACTGTATGCTAGCTACCTTTAAATGGATTGTTCTTGGTTGTCAGAAAATTCTTGCAAGGAGATTTTGCTATGTTACATGTCTGAGACAACTGAGACTCAGATAAGTTAATGAACAGACTGGTAAATTAGTAAATGCTAGAGCCATAAATAAAACCCAGATTCATTTAGACCTGGACCTCATGCTCTACATCTTTGGGGGAAGTCAGGCAGTAATAAATGAAAAAGAAGCACTCTCAAAATAAAAACAGTAATAATAGCTGTCATTTGTTAATGTGCCAGGTGCTGGGCCAGGTGCCCTAAAGGATTTAAATTCATCATTCAAATAAATACTCAAAGAGTTCATTCATTGTAGGTTTTTCAGATGAATTACATATTAATACCATTCCCTTTTGCCTTATGAGGAATTTAAGATTCAAAGGCATTGAGTTATTGATACCCAATAATAGCACACCTGGTGAAGATCAGAACGGAGTTGGCCGACTTGTGTCTTGTTGAGTTTCAAATCTTTGTTCTATTTTTGGATAATACTATAGGTCAAAATATATGTCTGATTTATAGACTCTGGACTGCATATTTATCCTTCTTCTCTGAAATTATTCTTGATTTGCTTTATTTAGAAATGAAGGCGCTTTTGGATAATAAGGAACTTTTCAAAAGTTATTGTGTAGTAGTTTGCATGTAACCTGCCACTGCCCAGGTGTGCCTCCAAGTCAGATTTCAGCCTTAAACTCAATATGCTCAGCTTGTATTTCAGGCTAGATCAGAGGTTCACTAAGAACCAAATGATGCAAGGAAATGTCTTAAACTCAGGAAAACTGCCTCACATAACATAAATTACTAGATTTTGAAATTCCACATGATGTAAGCAGAACTGAATAGCTTCCATCCCAGTCTTACAAGCATCCTAGACAAGCCCTTGACATTTACTCGTTAAGCAAGCATCCACTGATTGCCAGCTCTTGTTGCCATTGGCAAACAATGAAAACTGAAAAATCCTCGCCCTCTAAGAGCTTTATAGATTAATCAGAGAGAAAAGACAGAATGAACGCCAAGCAAGCAGAAGTATATAATATTACAACAAATCCTGTG